TGCTCCCCTTTTACAGCTGCCAGAACCACACCCATTACTCCATGAATGAATCAATCCCTCCATGAGGGCACAGTCGTCACAGTCTAATCACCTATGAAAGGCCCCACCTTTCAAATACCACAATTGGATTTCCCACCCTCTTAATACTGTTAAAGAGGAGATTAAGTTTCCAATACATGAACTTTTGGGGGACACATTTGACCCATAGTAATGCTGTTGTACTTCCTTTTGGAGTTTTTTTCTGTTTTGAAGTGGGGAGGGGGATAAGCAAATAAGCTAGGCATGGAAAGACAAATACCCCATAATCTCATTTATATCTGGAATCAAAAAAAGTTAAACTCATAAAAGTGGAGCATAGGATTGTGGTTAACAGAGGCTGGGGGTGAGAGGAGGGAGGGGGGAAATAGGGAGTTGTTCAAAGGGCACAAAAGTTCCGATAGACAGGAGGAATAAGTTTTGAGAGCTATTGCATAGCAGGGTGACTATAGTCAATAATGATGTATTGTATATTTCAAAATACCTAAGACAGAAAATTTCAAATGCCTCACCACAAAAAATGATAAGTAGTCAAGGTGACAGATATGTTAGTTGCTTGATTTAGTCATTCCACATTGCATACATATGACAAAACATCACACTGTACCCCATAAGTGTCTACAATTATGATTTGTAAATTAAAAATAACACTAATTTATAAAACAAATGTGAAGAGTTCCAGATAGGAATTTCCCCTGAAACACCCATGCAGTTATCTTTCACCTCCTTTCTCTCAGACCTCCAGCAGTTCCTTTCCTTTCTCTGTCTCCACCAAAGGCCTATTTCCTGTTTTGTTGAGAATGTAGATGTGGTCACAGGAATGACCATGTGCTCGTCTCCTGCTCTTGCATCCATTACCCAGCTCCTGTCCTCATGCAGTCTCTTCCTCTCCTGGTTCCCCGGGTGGATCGTCTGTACCGCCATCTGAGGTTGACACTTGCACTGGCACCAGGATTTCCTTTCTGGGAACACCATCAGTTTTCACTTTCTACCGGATCATTCTTGTCAGTGTACACACAGGCTGTAATTGCTTCCATCCGGAAGACCTTACCGTGACGAGTCCAGTTTTCTTCCCATCTTGGTGCTCCCATTAAAACCACTCAAGAGCATAATTTGTCTCTACTTAGTCTGTCTTGGACTCATTCCATTCAGGATTTTGGTGTTAATTTTCTGTTGCTGCCATAACAAATGAAACAACACAAATTTATTATTTTTATAGATCTGTACATCAATAGTCTGACACAGGTCTCACTGGACTATAACCAGACATCAGCAGGAAGGACTGTGTTCCTTCCTGGAGATGCTAGGATGGGGGGAGTCTGATTCCAGCTCTTTCAGGTTGTTGGCAGAATTCCTTTCCTGGCAGTTGTAGCACCTAGGTCCCTGTTTTCTTGCTGATTGTATGCTGAGGACTGTTCCCAACTTTTGGAGGGGGCTGCCACATTCCTTGACTCATGACCCCCTTTCTCTACCTTCAAAGCCAGCAGTGGTGGGTCGAGTCCCTCTCATGCTTCAGTTCTCTCCTCCTCCTCCTGTCTCATGTCTCTGACCCCCTCTTCTGCCTCCCTCTTCCCCTTTTAAGGACTCATGAGATTAGATTGGGCCCACTAGATGATCCAGGATAATCTTCCCACCTCAAGATCCTTAACATTCATGACATCTGCAAAGTCCCTTTAGCCACATAAGGTAATGTGTTTACAGGTTCCAGGGATTAGAATGTGGACATCTTTGGGGGGCCCTTATTCTCAATATCACACTTTCCCCATCACTCTGATGAAACAGCTCTCGTGAAAGTCACCCAGAGCTTGAGGTTGCTAAATCCAGTGGTTGTTTCTGGATCTCATCTTCCTTGGCTAATCAGCAGATTGGCTCAGCTGGTCACTCTCTCCTTTTGATACCCTTTCTTCCCTCGGTTTCCAGGAGACCATGCTCACCTGGTCCCTTCTTCTGGTCTGGTTGTCCCTCTGTACCTAGTCCTACTGGTTCCTCTTTACCTTTCTCACCTCTAAGCATAGAACGTGCAGGGCTCCTCTCCGTCCACACTCGCTCCTTGGGTGATCTCACATGGTTTCAAATACTGTCTAGTGGTGCTGATCTCTGCATCCATCCAGGGCTTCTTCCCTGAACTCCAGATGCATGTAGCCACCTGTCCACATGACATGTCCACTTGGACTTACAGGGTATTTAACCTTAGCATATTTCATTGTCCCCTGCAGGCCCACCCTCCTTTTACTAACCTTCATGTTAGTAAATGGTCATGACATTTTATCAGAGTGGAGGGGGAAACTCTGATAGAGTAGTTGTTCTCCCAAAAGATGTCCATGTCCATATCCCTGAAACCTGTGAACATGCTACCTTCCAGCTTTCTGAGCGCCCAATCCTTGGAGTATCTTTGAAGCTTTTCTTTCTCTCTCGCCTTACTATCCAGTCGACCATCAATTTGGTCCGTGCTGCTTTCAGAACACATCTAGAATGTGACCACTTTTCACCCGTCTGCTGTTACCACTCTGTCCAAGCCACCATCATCACTAACCTGGGTTATAGCAATGATCTTTTAATTGGTATTTCTACTTCTGCTGTTGTTTCTCTACAGTATATTCTCAGTTCAGACACCAGAATATCAGTCAGAGCCTGTCACAGTTTGCCCCAAACCCTCCACTGTGGTTCCATCTTCTGCAAAGTAAAATCCAACGTCCTTACACTGGCCTGTGATGCCCAGTACAATCTGGCTCCTGCCACTGTCTGCTTCTCCTTCCTCATTCACCTTGGCCGCCTGCTCCTTGGCACAGTCCTGCCCAAGGGGCCTTGTTTTACCCTTGGCCTGGAACCGTCTTCCTTCAATAGTGGCTTAGCTTGCTCGCTCACTTCCTCAGGCTTCTGCTCTGGTGTCAGAGGGGTCTTCTGACCCACCGCTTCTGAAGCAGCAGTCCCCACACTCCATAACCCTCTGACCCAGCTTTCTGTTCCCTGTTTCTTACTTTTTAATGTTTCCTTCCTTTACAATGTAAGCTCCTGAAGGCATGGGATTCACATGACTTATCCACTAGAATCATTCCGTCAC